GAAGCAGGCTCCAGGCTCTGAGCTGTCAGCACTCACGAACCGCGAGATCATGACCTGAGCCAAAGTCAGATGTCTAATCCACTGAGCCACCAAGGTGCCCCATTCTTTAGAAGATTTATCATTTTATTTTTTCAATATATGAAATTTATTGTCAAATTGGCTTCCATACACCACCCAGCGCTCATCCCAAAGGGTGCCCTCCTCAATACCCATCACCCACCCTCCCCTCCCTCCCACCCCCCATCAACCCTCAGTTTGTTCTCAGTTTTTAAGAGTCTCTTATGCTTTGGCTCTCTCCCACTCTAACCTCTTTTTTTTTTCCTTCCCCTCCCCCATGGGTTTCTGTTAAGTTTCTCAGGATCCACATAAGAGTGAAAACATATGGTATCTGTCTTTCTCTGTATGGCTTATTTCACTTAGCGTAACACTCTCCGGTTCCATCCACATTGCTACAAAGGGCCATATTTCATCCTTTCTCATTGCCACGTAGTACTCCATTGTGTATATAAACCACAATTTCTTTATCCATTCATCAGTTGATGGACATTTAGGCTCTTTCCACAATTTGGCTATTGTTGAGAGTGCTGCTATAAACATTGGGGTACAAGTTCCCCTATGCATCAGTACTCCTGTATCCTTTGGGTAAATTCCTAGCAGTGCTACTGCTGGGTCATAGGGTAGGTCTATTTTTAATTTTTTTGAGGAACCTCCACACTGTTTTCCAGAGTGGCTGCACCAATTTGCATTCCCACCAACAGTGCAAGAGGGTTCCCGTTTCTCCACATCCTCTCCAGCATCTAGAGTCTCCTGATTTGTTCATTTTGGCCACTCTGACTGGCATGAGGTGATATCTGAGTGTGGTTTTGATTTGTATTTCCCTGATGAGGAGCGATGTTGAGCATCTTTTCATGTGCCTGTTGGCCATCCGGATGTCTTCTTTAGAGAAGTGTCTATTCATGTTTTCTGCCCATTTCTTCACTGGGTTATTTGTTTTTCAGGTGTGGAGTTTGGTGAGCTCTTTATAGATTTTGGATACTAGCCCTTTGTCCGATATGTCATTTGCAAATATCTTTTCCCATGAAGATTTATGATTTTAGATCTTATATTTAGGCCTTTAATTCCTTTGGGGTTTATTTTGTGTATGGTGTAAGAAAGTGGTTCACTTTTTTTTTTTTTTTTTTTGCATATAGCTGCCAGTTTTCCCAACACCATTTATTGAAGAGATTTATTTTCTCCATTATATATTCTTGCTTCCTTTGTTGATTAGTTGACCATATAAATGTGGGTTTATTTATGGACTCTATCCTGTTGCATAAATCTATGTAGCTCTTTTTGTACCATTACCATACCTTGTAACCTTTTTGATTTAAAGTCTATTTTGTCTGATACTAGTATAGTCTCCCTGCTCTATTCTGGTAACTGTTTATGTGGAATAGCTTTTTCTATTCTTGCACTTTCAAAACTATTTTTGTCTCTGGGTCTAAAGTGAGTGTCTTATAGACAGCATATAGTTGGGTCATGATTTTATCCATTTCCCCAACCTTTGTCTTTTGATTATAGAATTTAATGCACCTACATTTAACTTTTTTTTAACATTTATTTATTTTTGAGAGACAGAGAGAGGCAGATCATGAGCAGGGGAGGGGGGGAGAGAGACACACACAGAATCCAAAGCATGCTCCAGGCTCTGAGCTGTTTGTTAGCACAGAGCTCTATGCAGGGCTCAAACTCATGAACTGCGAGACCATGACCTGAGCTGAAGTCGGAAGCTCAACTGACTGAGCCATCCAGATGCCCCTAATGCATCTACATTTAAAATAATTACTGAGGGGTGCCTGGGTAGCCAGTCGGTTAAGCATCCGACTTTGGCTCAGGTCACAATGTCACAGTTTGTGGGTTCGAGCCCATCCAGCTCTGTGCTGACAGCTTGGAGCCTGGAGCCTTCTTCGGATTCTGTGTCTCCCTCTCCCTCTGCCCCTCCCCCGCTGGCACTCTATTTCCGTCTCTCAAAAATAAATAAACGTTAAAGAAATTTTTGAGTAATTACTGATACGGGGATGCCTGGGTAGCTCAGTCAGCTAAGCGTCCAACTCTTGATTTTAGCTCAAGTCATGATCTCATGGCTGTGAGATCGAGCCCTGCATTGGGCTCTGCACTGAGCGTGGAGCCTGCTTGAGATTCTCTCACTCCCTCTCCCTCTGCCCTCCCCCAGCCTCTCAAAACAATTTAAAGTAAATGCTGATAAGGAGGGACTTCTTTCTGCTGTTTGCTATTTTGTTTTCTATTTGCCTTATAGCTTTTTCTGTCCCCCACTTTCTACATTTACTGTCTTCTTTGCATTTAGTTAATTTTTTAGTAGTGAATCATTTAAATTCCTTTCTCAATTCCTTTTGTGTATTTCCTATGGCTATTTTCTTTGTGATTACCACCGAGATGACATTTAACATCCTAAAGTTATCTCACTCGGATTTGAATTTATACCAGTTTACCTTCAGTAACACACAAAAACTCTGCTCTTGTGACAGCTCTGTTCTTACCTATCCGTTGTGGATATCACAGAATTATAACTTTATTCATTGTGTGTAATGGTTACTTTTCCTATAAAAAGAAGCTGTTGAAACATGCAATAAACTGAATAAATCTCAAGAGAGTTATGCTTAGTGGAAAAGACCAATCTCAAAAGGTTGCATACTGTATGATTCCATTTATAGAACATTCTTGAAATGACAAAATCATAGAAATGTAGAACATAGACTCGTTGTTGTCTGGGGTTAAAGATGGGGTAAAGGAGTAGGAAGGTAGGCTACAATAGGTCAATATTATATTCCTGTGGTTATGGAAATATTCTGTGTCTTGACTGTATCAATGTCGATGTCTTGTTTGTGATATTGCATTATACTTGGGCAAGATTTACAATGGGGGAACTGGGTAATTGGTACACTGGATCTCTCTGTGTTGTTTCTTGCCACTGTGTTGTTTCTTGTGAATCTATAATTATCTCAACATAAAAAGTTTAATTTTACAAGTACTATAAGCTCTTATAAAATATTATCATTTATTAACTCTGCAATCATTTGTTAATTCTGAATGATGGTTACATCAACACTAATAGCATGTAGTTGTAATGACACCAAGAAAAACACAATCAGCAATTCACAGAAGAAATCAAATGACCAATAAGACATACTCAGTATCTGAGGAAACAAAAATTAAAAGGACGGGAGGGAGCCGAGGTGGCTCAGTTGGCTAAGCAGCCAACTTCGGCTCAGGTCATGATATCATGGTTCATGGGTTGGTGCACCGCGTCAGGCTCTGTGCTGACAGCTTAGAGCCTGGAGTCTGCTTCAGATTCTATGTCTCCCTCTCTCTGTCTCTCTGCCCATCTGTGTGTGCTCTCTCTCAAAAATAAATAAATAAACAAAAAAGAAAAAAATTAAAAGGGTGGGAAGGAAAGGAAATAAGTGGTAAATAAAGGGAAATACAACTTTTCATCCACTGATTTTGCAAAGATTAAAAAGCTTGAAAATGTTTGACCAGAGAGTGGAGAATAAGCACCAGGACACACTGTTGGTGAGACTGTAAATTGGCACAAAGTTTGAAAGGACAATTTTGTGATCTCTTATCAAAAAACTATGTCCTACAGTAATGCTTTTTTAGAAAATGAACATGAATTTTTATTTCAGCAATACAAAAGAGCAAATAATTAGGGGGGAAGAAAATTTAACCACTTCATCAGAGGAATGGTTAAAAAAATAAGGTACTGTATGAACCACGATTATGTTATATTGTTACTGTTAAGAAAAATGGTGGGGCCTCTGGGTAGCTCAGTCACTTAAGCATCTAACTCTTGATTTCAGCTCAAGTCATGAACTCACAGTTCCTGAGATGCAGCCCCATATCGGGCTCTGCAGTGACAATGGGGATCCTGCCTGTGATTCTCTCTCTCCCTCTCTCTCTCTCTGTCCCTCCCTCCCTCCAAAATAAATAAATAAGCATTAAGAAAGAAAGAAAGAAAGAAAGAAAGAAAGAAAGAAAGAAAGAAGAAAAATGAGGTAAAGACTTCCAATGAGGGGGAAATAACACATTCTCATAAAATTTTCTTCTTAGGGCCAAACAAAACACCAAAGAGGATGTAAATTAGAGAGAACACCTATGATTTCTGTAAAACCTTGACATGGCACAATTATAAACTGCTAACTCCAAGACCTGCCAAAATACGGTAGAATTTGTATAAAATCCAGGAAGGACAGTAAAACCAGGGTATTCAGACCTCTGCTGATCTCACACTGAGCACAGAGCTCTCCAAAACGGGGTGACTCTGCCCCAAGACCCCCATTAATACTCCTTTACCTGGTTGGGAAGGGGGGGGGGGGGGGGGGTTCCTGGAGCCATACAGACCAGAGTAGATGAGATTTAGGAGTGGATGGGTTTGGGAGGCAAGGAAATGGTAAAGAGAGTCTCCCAGGCTTTGTTTGTTTTGTTTTGTTTTAGGTTTATTTATTTTGAGAGAGAGACAGAGAGAGAACAAGCAGGCGAGGGAGAGAGGGAATCCCAAGCAGGCTCTGCGCTGTCAGCATAAAGCCTGACATGGGGCTCAAATCCACAAACCGTGAGATCATGACCTGAGCCGAGATCAAGAGTCGGATGCTTAAAGGACTGAACCACCCAGGTGCCCCCCTCTTTTTAATTTTTTTTTTTTTTCAAAGATAAATTCGTGCACTCTTGCAATGCCGAGGAAAGTCAGGGATCCTCGGTTTCAATCCTGTATGAGCTCATGATTCACTGCGACCACAAACATACTGCAGATACTTGCAGCATCTGTAAAAAGCTGAGAATCGCTACCACTTGCCGGATCACCAAGAAGATCCACGCAAAGGTTTCAATTCAGGAACGCCAATTCGACTCCAGGCAGTAGCAGCTCCCTATTCTGGTAATGCCCGGCCGAGGCCGCGGGACATCTCGGGACTTGTAGTCCAGCTGGTCGAACTCGCTATCCCGGCATGTCCCGCGGCGGCGTCAAGGTTACCACGCGCCGCCTGCTGCGGCTGCGGAGACTAGAGTAGGGTGGATGCCAAGTGCAAGTGGGAAGGGTGTTTTGCGCCCAGTGAAGGCGGGCTTGACTTCCATATCGGGGAGACCACAAAGAGCTTTATTGAAGAGATTCCGGACGAGACTATAATTATAGGTGCGGGCGGAGGGGGAGAGTGTGGAACAAGACCTTGGGGTGGGGAGAGTCAGCTCTTCCAGAGCCGGGAGCAGCCGGTCTCGCCGCGTGCTGGCGTGGGCCGAGTCCATGCCACCTCGCGCTCATCTGACCTCCAGGAAACTACCGGACGCAGCTGTATGACAAGCAGCGGAGGAGTACCAGCCGGCCACCCCCGGGCTCGGCATGTTCGTGGAAGTGAAGGACCCAGAGGACAAGGTGAGCCGACCCCAAAGCCCACGGAGCCCTCCGCCCTGCGCTTAGGCGCCAGACCAGGCAGGTGCTGGTACTTCCCCTCCTAGTTGCCGCATCTGCTGAACTGCTGAAGACAGTTGGGTGTTGTGAGAAGATCGCGCCCGGCTTTGCGCTCTAGGCCAAGCTTGGGCTGCTGCAGTGCTAGCGGCTCCTCTCAACCTCTTACCGACTGCTGCGTGACTCTGCCAAGTCACTGAGCTTCCCTGAGCCGGTTTCCTGGTCTGTGAAATGGAAACTCGCCTATCTTACAGGTGTGGTCGGTGCCTTAATTGTGGTGCTGGCAGTCAAAGAATTTTGTCAACTCTAACGCTGTGGCATCCAGACTTTAAGGTTTCACAGGACAGAGTGCTTTCCAAAACGAAGAAGCAACTGTTAGTTTCGCCAGATAAGGATATTAAAACAAAGGAAAACAAATCTTTAGTTGTCCCCTTTCATTTAACAATGGAGTCACCCCAAAAGAGTTGAAAGAGCAGGAGCTCTGAATGAAGGAAAGCCCTTCCCAGAAGCAGTCACATCTCAGCCTCTTCTCAGACTCTTCTCCCTTGCTAGATAAGCTTTTTTTTTTTTTTTTTTAAAGAGAGAGAGTGTGTCCCTGCAAGAGAGGGGGAGAGGAGCACAGAGAGAGAATCTTAAGCAGGCTCCATGCTCAACGTGGAGCCTGTGGCAGGGCTCGATCCCATGACCCTGGGATTATGAGCTGAGCAGAAATCAAGAATCCTCTGCTCAATCACCTGAGCCACCGAGGCTCCCTGTCAGATAAGTTTTCGGCAACTGCTGCTGAGCATCTCTGGACCTTCCTTTTAGTGTTGTGGAGTGCCTAAGGCTCTGTTTGCTAACTTTGTAGGCAGTGAGATCCTTAAGCCCTGTTTCCTTCCAGCCCCATCCTCCTTGTAACACTCGCTGAAGCCCCTTCTCTCTAGGTCATGTTGGTGGGGCAGTATGGCTGAAGGCAGGTTCACTTTCACCTCCCATACCCCCAGCAAACACCATATCTGTCCTGTGGTCTCTCTTAGAGTCGGGATTATGATATAGTGGCCTTTCAGTTTCCCCAAATTGCCATATTCTTTTTTGCCTTAGGGCTTCTGTAGGTGCTATTCCCTCTGGCCAGAACACACTTCTTCCAGCTAACTCCTAATCATAAATGCAATTCTAAAAAGCAGCATTTCCTGACCATCTAGACTAGGCTAGAGTTCCAATCATGTCAATCTTAGTGCACAGCCTTCTCCTCAGAAGCATGCATCACCCTTAGCTGTTGTTCAAGCCCTGCCTCATTTGGTGTCAGACCAGAGGCTCCGTGTGCAAGAGTGTGCCTTTCTGGATCACTCTGCTTCTCCTGTGGCAGACAGCAGAGCACCCCCCCTCCCCACACACACACATATGCACCAGCTTCAAGTAAGGGTAATGGACCCTATGATCACATACTCTGGTTACTCTCTAGTGGTTTCCCTCAGCCTTCAGTCCAGTCCATTCATACTTTCCAGAGGCCAGTCATGACCACACCCACAAATGAGCAACATCTCCAAGGCTTGCAGCGTCCCTCAAGAGTATCTTAGGGGAGGTTGTGTCTGTCCCAGGCGCCAAGAGCAGGGTTTGTCACAACTTCCCCCTCCTAATGGGGAGTCTCCCTTGGCCTTGATGATTTGGACTTGATTTTATTGATGAGTGAGCTTCCTTATGACAGAAAACATCAGATTCATATGAGCGCTGACTATATTCCAACAGAGCAACCAGCAGAGGGCTTGGTAAAACGTGGGCTAGATCAGGCAGATGCAGTGGGTACATAGATGCCTGGTTATCTATACTTGTGTGCGCATGTGAAGGCTGAGTCACAGGAATGCTGAACATAATGGAAACAATTACTTCCAATCTTGTTTAAGAAAAAGAAAGGAAGGAAGAGAGAGGGAGGGAAAGAGGAAGTAAGGAGGGAAGAAAGAGGAAGAAAGAAAAAGGAACAAAGAAAGGAAGGAGGGAAGGAGGGGGAAGAAGGAAAGAAAAGAGAAAAAGAATCTCCTGAAAAAAATCAACCAGTGACATCACAAAGAGAGACACAGATTGGCAGAAAATAGTAGGAAGACAGAGGTGCCCACCTGACCTCCTGGAAGAACCCAGCAGTCCAAGTGGCTAGAATAGCACATGAAGTTGACCCAACCCCAGAAAGAGACAGAGGATCCGCACAAGCGCTCAGGTTACCCATAAGATGGACCCAAATTGGACTTTTCTGGAAAGGACTCCACAAGTCGCTAAGGCTTTTGGAGTACAAGCTTCCATTTTGGGATCCATCCATTTGATGATCCCATCCATTTTGGGATCAGCCCCCACCAGTACATGTGGGGCCTCGCACACCTGTCAATATCTGGTTAGAAACAAAACACCGGAATGAATTGCAGAGTAGGAGGCAATAAATGCTTAGGTCAGAGAGTCTGCAGTTTATAATTCACTCTTAATTCTCCATCTTGGGATAGTTCATCCATCTGGTTTAGCCTGGGGATGGGGGCACCGTCACCCTCCTCAGCAGCACAGAGCCACACAGAATCCTTCAGCTCCCCGACCAAGTGTTTAGTGGGAAACCCATCCTTTCCCAAGTGCTGGCTGAGAAACCAGTTCAAAGAAGTCCTCTGTCCCCCTGCCAGTAAGCAAGGAAGCCCTGCAGGGTTGGGGGGTTGGGAACCAGGAAATAGACCAAGCCAGGCCACTTCCCATCAGTGAACAGAAGGGGAATGAGTTGGGGCTGGGTTTCTAGGGCCCACCTACACCAGCTTCTTGGCTTTAAAGAAACTCTTGAGGTGCTGCATCTGCCAGACACCTGTGGCCACGAGGATGAAGGTCTGCAGAATGGACCACCACAGCACCCGCTGGTTGGTGCTCTCGCTGGTCTGCCGGAAGCGCTCCTCTCGCCACTGTGGGAGGGGAGAAGGGAGTAGATACGCGTCCGGAACTGAATTGCACCCCCACCCACTCTGGGGAAGAGCGGGAAGCTTCCCTTCCCAGGAGGTGACACATCCCCCCCGTCCCAGCTGTGCCAGCCCAACCCAGCCCCTCACCCTCTGGTATTCCTGCTCCTTCTGGATCAACTCCACCTGCTCCACAAGCTGCTGGACACGCAGATGCAGCTGGGTCAGCTTGTCCTTGGCCGCAAACTCCGCGTAATCGTTGCTGCGTTCACCCAACTGCATATCCAAGTGAATCGCCTGGAACGGGGGAACCAAGGGTGGGAGTCAGGGAGCTTAGCTCCATGGACCTGCTGGAAATCTAGCTTCTGCATCCCAGCCTGGGCCTGACCCTGTTCCTCACACACCAACTTGTTGACTGGCCTTGCTCTGGGCGTCCAAACACCAGATCGGGACTCGGCTTGTGTGGAGTTGTATATTCAAAACACCAAGGATAGGGACAACATGTGCAAAGGAAACAGAGGTAAGACTCTGAGGCAGTTTACTAAAAGTCCTGTATTGGGAGATGACAATGGAGAGGCCTGAAGCAATCAGCAGAACAGCTCTGAATTTCACATGGTGAAACTCAGTCTGTATCCTAGGGATGGGGCAGGGAGCCGAGAGAGGATTTTAAGTCACGGTAACTCCCTCCCAAGGTCTCCTTTTATCCTCAAGATCTGTTCCCCATGTGCTTACTTCATGTAAAGTCCCAGCCCTACTCAACAGGCACCACCCACTGCACCCTTCTCACTCTAGAGGCAGAGAAATTGAGCCCCTGGGGACGGTGGACCTCCCACCTGCCACACTCACCAGCTTGCCGTCATAGAAGAGGGCGAACCGGATAGACTCAAGGTGGAGGCAGATCTGGTGCTCTCCTGGAGACTGGGAGGTGAAGGTGAAGCTGCCCTGAGGGCCGTACTGACGGGCCAGAAGGTTCTAGAGGAAGCAGCCTCCAGTGAGCACAGAGATGTTAGCCATACACCTGCTTCCAGGAGAATTGTACGGGTATCCCAGGTCTACACCCCCACAGGCCAGAGGGGACAGTGTGAAAGAAAGGACATCAGTTTGGCCAGAAATTCTCAGATCCCAGCATTGCCAATACAGAGTACAGTTTGCAAAGAGCATGGCCCTCCTTAAGCTATCCTGCCTGTGAGAAGACAGATCCTTCTGTGAGAAATGAAGGACTAGAGAAGGCTACACATTGACTCTGGGGGCCTGGGGGTGGGGGCCCGGTGGAAGGCTGCAAGGAGTAAAGGCCTGCCTCACCTTGTTCTCCGGGTCCTTCACAAACACAAATAAATTGATCCACTGGGGGGAGGGCTGGTACTTTTCCATAGCAGGGTCGTATAGCTCCGTCTTGTAGTTACCTAATGGAGAGGCAACGGAGGTGCAATCCCATCCATACCCATGATGGAGTCCCAGTGGTCAGGGGAGGAACAGGAAGATCTTGAGTCTGAGGAGACCGACCACGGCCCTCGGCCTCTCCTCCCTTCTCCAGCCCCACTTCTCTGCCATCATTCCAGTCTGGTTCAGACTAGCCTCCTAGGGCCCCCATCCCCGTCACAGGCAAGAGAAAGGATGCCTTGGCCAGACTGCTGTCCACCCATCCCTCTGAGCCCTACCCCCGGCAGGGGAGGGAAGATATGGGCCTGAGCTGGTGCCACCCATTTCCCTCCCCTCTCAGGACTCTAGGTGCAGGGAGGGCAAGGCCAGGACTGGCCGAGACGCGCACCTATGACCACGGTACCATCGGGGATCTCCTGGATGAAGCACTTCTCCTCCAGCTCGCGGACCTCGAGGTAGAACGCGTCCCCGGGGCCCATCAGCGCCAGCAGCTGCCCCAGCAGCAGCGGCAGGGCCATACCGGTTGCCCGCGCTGTGCCCCATCCCCGCCCGGGGCCAGCCCGGGGCCCAGCTCCTCGCGCCCCGCAGGCCCCCGCCACCTTCCCAGGCGAGTCCTCCGGTCTCCGCGCGGAGCCTGCGGAGACTGCAAACTCGCGCACGGACTACAACTCCCGGGAGCCCTCGCGTGGCCCC